GCACTGGAGCTAGGTGTTTTTCTTTTGAGATTAGTTCTGCAGAAGACCGCAGAATCTCTTATATCTTGTGCCTCATTCTCCTGCCACCCCTCCATCCACAGTAGTTTCAGAACCCTGGGGGTGCTTCCCTGTACCTCCGGCATCCTAACCTGTCTTTCCCTTTCAGGATGAGAAAGACATCCTGCGCTGCGCTCACCTGCAGAAGGAGCTGCTTCTCAGCGCTATAGATTCGGTCAATGCTGCCTCAGAGACAGGGGGCTATGTTGTGTACTGCACCTGCTCCATCACAGTAAGTCCACGCTGTTGTGGTTATCTCCTCGGGGGCTGGCAGGCCCTGGGTCCTAACATTTAATCTCTGGCAGGTGGAGGAAAACGAGTGGGTGGTGGATTATGCCCTGAAGAAACGCAATGTCCGTTTGGTGGCCACAGGACTGGACTTTGGCAAGGAAGGTTTCACCAGGTGCGTGCCAGTTCACAAGCTGCACAGGTGACTGACTCTTCCTTGCTGACCAGGGTTCACCAGGGGCTTTCTATCATTTCTCATCCCTTTTCCTCCTCCAGGTTCAAGGACCGGCGTTTCCACCCCTCCCTCAAGCATACACGGCGTTTCTATCCCCACACACACAACATGGATGGGTTCTTCATTGCCAAATTCAAGAAGTTCTCTAACGCCATTCCCAAGGCACAAAAAGGTAACCTGGTACTGGAGCTCTGCTGAGCTGCCTGGGCCTGCTCTCACGGGCTGCTTGCCACGCAGAAACCACGTGGGTTCTTCCTGCAGCACTTCTCTCTCTTGTTGCAGATGAAGAACCCGCTGTGGAAGCAGCAAGTCCGTCTGCTGGCCCTGAGACTGTCATGGAGCCTCAGCCAAAAAAGAAGAAACTTGAGGACACACAAATTGTCCAGGAACAGAAAAAAAGCAAGCCTGCTTTGAAGAAGAGACGTTCTTTGCAGGGGCAGAGGAGACCCTTGAAGGCTGTCCCGCGTTCTTTCCAGAAGCCACACGCTCAAGTCCCTGCAAGGAAGAAGCACAAGGTGAAACAGAACGGACAGTGAGAGGAACTGCTCTTCAGGTGTTGTATCCCTTCGTAGGGAGCAGAGGTTGGCGGGCTGTCCTGGCTGCGTGTGTACCACATTGCTTTTCCTGCTCTGTGCAGATACTCACTGCAGTGCTGAGTGCCCAGGACAGCCACAACAACCCCCTTCACTCCTTTCTCTCCTCTGCATCAAGGACTGACACACTGACCCATTAAAAGTTTTATACTCTTGCTCAAATCTTGTCCTTTTCCCTCGAGCATTGAACAGAGAACTCTGTCATGTCCCCTTTCTCCTTTGCAACAGAAGGAGATCTTCCGCTTCCACCCGAAGCCCTGGTATTTTTGGTGTCTGTTCTTACTGCCGTTGTCGCTCTGCGCCATGGATGTTTGGGAGCAGCAGTGAAATCGTAGCTGCCTCAGTGAGGTGTATGTTGAAACCTCACCCTGTCAGCAGGGTGTTTAGGGCAGGACTGGAGCTCCTAGGTCAGTGCTCCTGTGCTGGTCCCCAGCTCCATGTCATTCATCACTGTCTGCTGGCCCACTTCACTCTTGTGCTTGTCCTCAGTTCTTCCTGGTGCTCCTCCCAGAATGGTCAGGGTTGGAAGGGGCCTCCCAAGGCCATCTGCTCCAACCTGCTGCTCATGTGGGGCCACCCAGAGCAGGTTGCCCAGGACCGTGTCCAGGAGGCTTTTGGAGATCCCCAAGGAGGGGGATTCCGCAGCCTCTCTGGGCAATCCCAGAACTCTGTCAGTCTGTCCCCAGCCATCTCCTGGGTGGCCTCCCAGACTGCAAATGGCGTTGCTGCTGGTCCTGGTGCTGTGCAGTCCTGTTCTTTTTGCCTTTTTGTTCACCCAGATGTAGTAGGTTTTTCTCAAGATGTAACAAGCAATGGCCTGGGTTGTTTCTATTTACATGGCAGCCTAGGTTCCTTTCCTTGTCAGTGTGAATTGGCATTCTCATCTTTGGTTCTGCTTTCCAGTGAATAGATGTTTTTCTAGAGACAATTTATAAGTAAGCTCTGTGCTAAGAATGCTCTCCAGTGTCTGCTCCACCAGTGTTCTGGAGCTGTTCGTGGGAGAATTTGATGTGCTATTACAGTGTTTTGTGTCTGGTTTTAAGGACAGCTGAACGCAGTGAGGTGTAGGATCTGGGGAATTACTTTGCTCCCAGTCTTTTCCAGGTTCAGCAGGTAGTGAGACTGAGCATGAACTCCAGAAATACGTGTGCACACAAATGATAGATACAGCCAACAGCAGACAGATTAGCAGAAACAGGAGAAATGGGCGATGAGAGGTGCTGAGAAACACAACACTCAAAAGAAGAAATGAAAAAAACGGCCCAGTTCTGTTCTTAATTGCAGGCCTATTGCACTTTGAGTGTGTCAGTGGACCTTCTGAATGCACGCTTTGTGCATTCTCTGGTTGCTGGTCTGCAAACTTGTGGTCTGTCCACTATCTGGCTCTCAGATCTCTTATCCTATTGTTTGGTCATTCCAGCTTGGAGTTTGCTAGCATTTCTCAAATGTGCATGCTTGCAGAGAAAATTGATATAAATAGCTTAACATGAAGATAGCACAGCTGGACAAACCTACTAACCAGCCCGTTTCCAGGTGACCTTGTGTATATTCCTCCTCTCCATTTTCCCATGCTTATTCCTCCCTCATCTAGCTTGATGCCTCCCTTTCTGCACCTTTGATATTTCCCATAAATATCCCATAGTGAGTTTTGCCCCCATCATCCTCTTTAGCATTGCATAAAATTTATGAAGTGCAACAGTTCCTCTCAAAGGTCCTGTAACAATTTTTTCTTTTTCCTCTAAAACCTTATGCTAATCTTGTTTTCTTTTGAGTTACAAGGTTTCTGGGTGAACCTCTTCAAGCATACCCTTGAATGGTTGCTGCACTCCTTCAGTCTGTCAGTCTTAGGAGTCCTGGTGTTTGTTACAGCCCTTCTTATATTCTTAGGGCTTATGTATCTGTGTGTTTAATTTATTACAGCTCTGCTTTTTTTTTTTTTTTTTTTGTTAATGAGCCATTAAACATCTCCTTACAGCTATAAATTACTTTTCCCCCTGCTTCACAGAAAATCAGGGCAGGGAAGAGCCTCTGAACGGATCTGTCTCACTTCAAGCTTGTGTGCTGAAGTCTCTAGACTGCCTAATACACACCCTAGGGTTTTCCAGGGTCTTTCAGAAAAAAAAATAAGTCAATACTAGGCACTGATATGAAAAGAATAATTAGCAAAATGGAGAAGGTTACTTCCCTGTCTGAAGTAACAGTGCATGTACTACTTCTGTCTGTATTTTGAGTGTTCTCTGTCAGAAAAAAGGATTGTAGGGATGGGAAATGGTCAGAGGACGAGTACATCTACAAGAGGAGCAGCCAGAGTCTAGGCCTCCCTAGCTTGGGGAAGGGACCACGGGGAAAGAAGTGATACAATGGGATGTAAAAGTATGGGTAACACTGAGAAGACGAACAGCAAACAGATGCTTGCTGTTTTCCAATGAGAAGAACAGATCCTAGGACCCATCAACTTCACCATCAGCTTCTAGCACCCACAGATGTTCCCTGGTTGGTGTAGATGGCTGCAGAACATCCTGTGCATGCTGGAAACTTGCACGGGTTAAGAAACTAGTGAAAAATGGTTCCTCTAAGAGCTGGGGAGTTTGGTTTTTGGTCTCTGTGCTCTGGTCTGAGGCTGTTTGAATGTCTGAAAGCTGCTGGCAGTATGGCTTGCAAAAGCACGAGTTGGGGCAGAGCAAAGCAAGAACTGAGGCAAAGCACAATTGCAAACAAAGCTGAAACTGAAGGTTTCTGTAGGAGAAGCTGAAGACCATATTGAAGGCATAATGGAAACAAAAAAATCTAACGGCAATATAGGTCTAGCACTGATGGCAGTGATGTGCTCAACACAGGGTTTGCAGCCTGCAGCAGTGTTGTCTCTTGTCAGGCTACATCCAGAGGAAGGGACTGAAATACTGCGTGTTTCAGGAATTTGGGCACAACATTTAGATCCTGGAGCACTGGCTCTTGTTGTACATAACCACACGGATACACTTCTAGGAGCTTACAGCAGTAGATTTTTGCTCATCTAAGCTGTCCATCCGTGTTCCTAACAGGCAGAACGTGGAGAGCCTGCGAAGAGGATGCCTGTGTGTCCGACCTGCCTGGCTTAGCTAAAGACACATTGCTGGGAAGAGTAAGGCTATAGCACGGAGAGCTGGCTACACAGCTGGGCTCATGCTTAAGGCATTTCTCTCTCTCTTTAAAGAAAATCCATTACCTCTTTTGCTGGTCGATAGCGACATTGTGGATAGGTTAGTATGGTGATTTCCCAGCTTCTGCTGAAAGTCCTTCTGCACCCAAATCTAGGTAACTACCTCTGGGCTGCTGGCTTTACTAGGCAGAAACGTGTCCACAAGTTGTGTGCTCGTTGCAGCCTCTAGCTGTAGACAGAAGCAATTTTAGGGGCGGGTTAAAGTGCAGCATCTAGGAAGTTGCAAGACACTGGACACACAGTTCCAGCAGAGCCTGGTGGGAATGGGATTGTAACACTAGGGAAGGAGAACAGGGAGTTGGGTTACACGGGGATGTTACACGCACCAGCATCACGTATGTCTCAAAATGATGGTGTTAAGGAAAGCACTGGAGCTCATTTGAGTAACTGAGGCAGTGCGTTTCATCTACAAAGCACCTGTGCCAGGAGGATGCTTTTAAGGCTCTGTGACCTGGGAGAGGGGGAGCATCTCAAAGGGGCAGTGAGAGTTAAAGCGGGTGCAACCAGATGCGGTGTGGGACCACCTTGGGGGCCAGCAGTGCCCCTGCTGAGGGTGAGCTGATAACCTCGGAGGCTTTGGAGCAGCGCCGTGTGTTTGGCCGGGCGGCTGCTGCTGCCTTCCGCCGCCGCCGCATCCCATCCGCAGCGGAAGCCGCGCCCCCGCCGCCGGGGCCGGCCCCCGCTCCCCCCCGGCCGTTCCCCCCCGGAGCCCGGCCCCGTCCCGCCGCAGCCATGAACCCGCTGCTCGGCCCCAACCTCTTCCTGCTGCCGCAGGAGCAGGGGGGGCTGCCCGGCCCCGAGCCGCCGCCGCTGCCCTCCCCGCGCCCCGCCGAGCCCTTCGCGGCGGAGCGGGGCTCCCCGACCCCCCTGCTGCCGCCTTCCTCCTCCTCCTCCTCCTCCTCCGCCGCCCCGTTCCCCCCGCCGCCCGCCGCCATGGCCCTCCGCAACGACCTGGGCTCCAACATCAGCGTGCTGAAGACCCTCAACCTGCGGTTCCGCTGCTTTTTGGCCAAGGTCCACGAGCTGGAGCGGCGCAACCGGCAGCTGGAGAAGCAGCTGCAGCAGGCGCTGGATGAAGGCGGCCGCCCCCGAGGCCCCCCTCGCCGCGACCAGGCGGTGCAGACCGGCTTAGTGGGGCCCATCCGGCCGCTGGGGTTAGGGTTAGGGCTGGGGGGCACCCGGCCCGCCGCCCTCTGCGGCCCCGCACGGCCGCTGGGCTCCCCCGGCTGCCACCCCGGAGCCCCCGCCCAGGCGCCGCCGCCCTTGGCCGCCTCGTCCCGCTTCATGCCCGGCACCATCTGGTCCTTCTCGCAGGCTCGGAGGTTGGGGCCGGGGCCGGAGACCACCTTGGTGCAGGGCCCCGGGGTCTCCTGGATCCACCCGGACGGGGTGGGCGTGCAGATCGACACCATCACGCCCGAGATCCGGGCCCTCTACAACGTGCTGGCCAAGGTGAAGAGGGAGCGCGACGAGTACAAGCGCAGGTGAGGAAGGGGTGGCCGGGGGGCTTCACCCAGCTGGGGTGGCGTGGGACAGGCTGGCAGCCTCTCCTCAGCCCTCCTCTGGAGCCTGGGCTCTGGGAAACATGAGCATGGCGAGGCAAAAGGGATGGTGGACCCCAAAATCAGCTCTCAGTGTTCGGATCTCCTCGCTCTGCTCCCGGTGTTTGAACGCCCTCGGGATGCTTTTCCTGGCTTCTCAGCCCGGCACCTAGAGGAGAAGCGCCTTGCCAAGCGGGGACTCGGGTGGTGAAGGAATAGCGGGACGCCAGGAGCTGGGGTTTGAAAGGGGAGGGCATCTGGAGATGCTTAGGAAGGAGGAGCAGCCGGAGGGTAGGTGAGGAAGGTGAAGGCGCAGCGGGCAGGAGCAGAGCAGGTTTGGGTAGGAAGAGGCTGCGAGGATGAGGAGGAGAAGGAGGGCTCTGGATACATGGGGATGTGCTGAGAAACCCTTGGGTGGCCGGGTCCTCTGGGCCCGTTCCTTCCTCCCTTGCTTTTGCAGCCAGGCAGGGGCTCTCCCCAGCAGTATCCATCCCACCAGGCGTTTTCAAGGCAGTTGGTGAGGCTGCTCCAGGACCTGCACGCAGGGTGAGCTCAGGCAGCGAGCTGGCGTTGCTGGGTCAGGGCCTGGAGGAGAGCAGCGGGCAGGGCAGTGCAGTCACTGGCTGCTTGCTGCCCCCGTGTCTGACTCCTGAAGAGGATAAATGGCTTCGTGATGCTGTAGAAGCACTTAGTGCTTAAGTGCGCACCCAAAGGAGCAAAACACAGCACGTTACCCAAGTGACCCAAACTGCTGGCTGGTGCCTTGGGGCTGTGGGGTCTGGTGCCAAAATTTGGGGTTAGGATCTGAGATGACACCTCACGTTTCTGGCTTTATAAGGCTGAGCAGTGCTTGTTGCGTGGCCGGTGCTCCAATGGCACCAAGAGAGGATTGCAGGAAGAAAGGTGGCGCCCCATCTGTCCTACTGATCGCCTCCGCTTTTCTGTGCACCTAAGGCCTTTTTATTAAGCACGGGTCAGGTTCCTTCCCCGGGGGTGGTCTGCTCGCCTTGCGCTGCGTTTTTTGGATCAGATAGCCCGGAGCTAGTGCTGCATCAGGGCAACCTGAGCCGGGCGTGGAGCCACCTTTTTGGAAAGGGAAAGTGGAGAGAGCGCCGAAGGAGGATGGGAGACGGTGTTTAGGTACAGCTGGGATGCCAAAGCCTCTGTCTGGGCTTGTGAGCCCGTAAGCTGCTGGGCTTGGGAGTGCCTGGCTCTGTTTTGTTGGTTGGTGCTGATGAAACTTGGGAAGAAAGGAGAGCTCCTGGTGGTTGTCCCGCCTGGGAAAGCAGGTTTTGGGAAAGCCTGCTGGGGCAGTGACCGAGGCAGCGGGGACGAGCTGCCGTGGGCCAATGTTGGTGGTGGGGTCTATTTTTGGACGGTGTTACCAGGAGCTGGGAGGAAGCAGACCCCACCCCCAGACCCTTTCCTATACCGGGTCCCAAACAGGGGACGGGAGAGGAGGATCCCATTTCCGTGCTCTTGCCTCTGCTGAGGGCCAACCCCAACGCTCCCCTTGCCTGCACAGGAGCAGGGACTGCTGTGGGCTGCCGTGGGGACAACGTGGGTGGTGGTGTCCCCAGGCAGCCCTTTGCATCCTGCGTGGGGCAAGAGGCCTTTGGAGCACACACACACGCTGCGATTGCCCTCCTAGCAAGGTGTGCCACGTAGCTCCAAAATAGCAGGAGAGAGGGAAACGTGCAGCTTCCAGCACCGAGCAGTCGGAGGGGCATCCAGCAGCACCAGCCTGCCATAAACGTGCAGTCAGGCACCTAGCGCCTGCAGTGAACAGCATTTTTAAAGGTTTTGGGGGTTGCTGCTGCCCTCTCCCTTTGGGCACGTCGCCGTGCCGTGGTGGCACGGGAAGGACGCGTGTCCCCCTGGCGTGGTGATGGTGGAGCAAGGAGGCTGCGAGCCGGGGCTGTGTGGCAAAGCCTGGATCCGACCAGCAGCAACCTGGCAGAGGCTCCTGGCTGCTCCGGGCTGTGGGTGCAGTGATGCAGTCGGGTTATTATTAGGAGTGGTGCATTGCAGAACAGAAGAGGGAAACGGAGCCAGGCAGGAGGCAAGCGCGCGGGAGAGGGGTTCGTAAAAGGATGGGCATGCAGATCCCTCGCTCTCGGGGCGAACCGTTCTTGCTCTCTGCCATTAGATCAGCATTTATCTGATCTGTGCTCATCTTCTATGGCATCCATGTGAAACGAATTCTTCCAAGGTTTTGGAAGTCCGGGCTGTACAGAGACCCAGAGGGAGGTGGAGACCCAAACAGCGAGCGAGCTCCATGCTGAGGAAGATGCTGACAATATTTTTTTTAGTAGTGGAATGCGTTTTCTCCCCTGGGACAGAGGCCTTGTTTGAGCAGTTCCCATATAAGGAAAATCATACCTTTGGGCTTTCTCTTCCCCTCCCTCTTTGTCTTTTTCTTCCCACAAAGGGATGCAAAACCCCTTTGCCTCCCCTTCTGGAGCTGTGGGGTACAACCAACACTAGGAACGCACGCTTTGTCCCTGTTTGAATAAGGAGAAGCACTGCGAGCTTAAAGAGCTTGGAAATTCGTAAGTCAGGACTCGCCCAAATCATCAGATTGTCTTCTTACCCTAACAGGAGCGAGGACTTTTCATGAGCTCTCTGGTTTCCTGTTCCTCAGGACTAATTTTCCATGCTTGGTGTAAGCAAGTGGGAGAAGAGGTTTTTCGTATCCTCATGCCATTTAAAAGCTGGGGTCATCACTAACTTGCAGGCAATAAACAGAAAGCAGAGCTCCCAGCACCAGGCAGGGCCCAGCTCTGGTTGCTTTCCCAGAGAAATCCTGCTGTCCCAGGAGAGCTGGGGGTAGGACATGCAGCACGCTGCATCGCACGGGGCAGCAGTGGGCACAGGGCACGTGCCAACCCGTTTGCTCTCCCTGATTGTCATTTAGCAAACAGTAGTGCAGCCTCCCAGCTGAACACAGGCCGGGCCAGCGCCGCAGCACGGCCCAAGACGATGATCTCATGGCTGCAAAACACGGTGGAGTCTGCTGCTGGGTGACGTGGTCCTGGGCACCTCGCAGCTCAGCCTTCTGTGGTCTTCTGCAGAGCTTTTTGCAAAGCCTAATGCGGTTCCCACCACCCGACCCGATCAATCCGTGGGCTAAGGTGGTGCAACCTGGCACAAAACCGGGCCAATCCGTCACTCCTCCTTGCAGGACAAAAATGTTTTTTTATTCTAACCTTCACATCGAAGCGCAGCACAGCCGCGTAACGTGGCTTGATGTAGATTGAGTTTTGTGCTTCCAAAGGGCAGCCCCACAAATGCAGCCACGAATGTGGTGCAGGTGGGTGCAGCTCTGCAGTACCCGCAGAAGCTCCAAGCCCCTTCCCACGTGTTGCAGCTGCTGCGTGGAGCCTGCGGTTGGTGTCCCCAGCTCCCCCCACCATGGGAGCTGCTGGCCAGCCCAGCGTGAGGTCAGCGAAGAGCATTGCGGAGCTGGCTTTGTGGCCAGGAGGGCTGACGGGCGTTTGGCAGCTGTGGCTGCCTGGAAACAAATGGCAATGCATTCCTGGGCACGTCCTCCCTCCCACCCTGCTGCCACCCTCGCCCCCTCCGGGATAGCTTTGGGGTGAGCAGCTGCCACCCCGTCCTCTCCAGCAGCCCGCGATGCGAGGCGGGTGGGATCTGACCCGCACGTTTCTCTCCCTAGATGGGAAGAGGAGTACACGGTGCGCGTCCAGCTTCAGGACCGAGTCGCTGAGCTGCAGGAGGTGAGCATCGCCGCCCCTTTTCCCCTGCTCTCCGGCTGCCCCTCGCTGATGTGCACGTCTGTCTCCTTCTGCCCTGGATGCAGGAAGCCCAAGAGGCTGAAGCGTGCCAAGAAGAACTGGCCATGAAGGTGGAGCAGCTCAAGGCAGAGCTTGTTGTCTTCAAGGGACTGATGAGCAATGTGAGTCTGCAGGCAGCAGCGGGTGTCCTGCTTGAGTGGTGGGGTCCAGGCTGCGGTGTGCTTCCTCGAACAGCAGACCTGTATGGAAAGGCATCTGTGCTGGCTCAGAGCCCCGTGGTGGGCACATCACCACCAGACAGAGGTGGTCCTGGGTGCAGTGAGCACCGTGGGAACGCAGGCCCAGCCCTATAACACGGGGAATTATCTTGCCAGGGGAACGTGGGGGTCTGGCTGGCGTTGCCTTGCCTAACCCTCCTCCTCTGTCCCTCCCTTGCGGTGCTGTGACGGTCGCTGCGGGTTCAGAACATCACAGAGCTGGACACGAAGATCCAGGAGAAGGCCATGAAGGTGGACATGGACATCTGCCGGCGCATCGACATCACTGCCAAGCTGTGCGACGTGGCGCAGCAGCGGAACTGCGAGGACATGATCAAGATGTTTCAGGTGAGATGCGCCTGTCCCAGGCTCGGCAGCCAGCTCTGGGGAGCGGAGTTCCCAAAGGAGGTAGAAGAGACAGCAACAGGACCCCGCTAGGGGAGACGCTTGGTCACCCTGCCCCTTACTCCTCGTGGTCCCTTGCTCTCGGTCTCTCCTGGGTGCTGTGCTTTGGGAGCATCAGACAAAAGGGCACGGAGAGGAGTCCGAGAGCTCCAAACGTTGCTTCAAGCGTCAGCAGGCCCCTCGACCTCTTGCCAATTGGTTGTGTTGGGCCCTGAGACACCACAGCGATAGGGGAGCAGCTGCAGGAGGGAGACAAATTTCTTGAGTGTCTGTCTCTAACTCCATCTCTTTCCTTCCCCTTCCCCTCTCCGTCATCTTCTCTGTCACTCTTCTCTGTCTCTGTCTCTTTCCTCTTTCTGGATGTTGCTGCATTTCTGTCTCTTTTTTTCCTACAGAAGCAACTGGTTAGTTTCATTCAGTTGAGAGATTGTACAAATTATAAGCTTTCTATAAGGTTGGACTGTAAATACGGACATGTTTCACTTTTTTTAGACTGTCTCTTTTTTCCCGTTTCTGTCGCTGTGTTGCCCTCTGTTTCTGGTCTAGGGTGGTGGGTGTTTTTGAGTTCTTCTGCAATAAAACCTCATTGTTTGTCTCATCAAATTCATAGAATTCATCTTTGGTTGCTTAGTTTTAATTTTGGAAAATGCTAAAGCCATATTTTATTCATTGCACCATCTTCAACCTGATCATAATAAGCCCGTCTCTCTCTCTCTTTCTCTCTCTCTCTCCTTCTTTCCTTTCTTCCTTTCTCTCTCTCTTTCTCATTCCCTGTCTTTCTGTCTCTCCGCCATTCCTTCTTCCTCCATCTCCTCTCAACTACCTACTCCCGACCTCGGACCCGGCCTCGTTTCTGTAGTCTCTGCACTTGTCTCCCGTTAAGGTCCCAGCCTCGGTGGGGCGGAAGCGGGAGCGCAAGCAGGTGAGCGATGAAGACACGTCGCTGTCAGAGAGCGATGCCTCCAGGAAGCCTGACGAGGAAGAGGAGGATGAGACCACGGCCATGAGTATCAATGAGGAAATGCAGAGGATGCTGAACCAGCTGTGAGTGTGGCCCGGCCTCACTCTTGCAGAGAGCCTTTCCTCTGCTGTCCCACCTCCAGCAAGGTGCTTGGGCAAGCTGCCCCGCTCCCGGCGTGGTGCTGAGCCCCCAGCCCCACCACCCGAGGGGCTGCGTGGCCCACCCGGCTGCGGGCTGTGGCTTTGGGCTGCCCCCGGGGCCGTGCTCCCAAGGGGAGGCTCTGTGGTGGTGCGTGTCCTCCTGGCTCTTCTCCACCCCAGCTGGGCACCAGGTTCCCCTGTGGGCACCCTGGACGTGCAGGCTGGTGGCTGGGGAGGTGAGGGATGGGAGCAGGCTGCAGCTCCCAGTTTCAGGGTGAGGGTGAGGTGGGAGCTCCATCAGGGCTGGCGTTTGTGCCCCGTGCCCTGTGGCTGTACCAAGGTGGGACCGACCAGCTCCTGAGCCCTCCTTGGCTGTGGGGAGGATGCTGCTCCCGGTGCCTGGTTGCACTCTGTAGCTCTGCCCTCCTGTCCCTGGGAGCTTGCAGCTCGCTCCCATCCCCACAGCCTCCTGAGGATGTTTAATTATCCCATTAGGGCTTGTTTCAGTCCCCCCTGTGCCTTCACCTCCATGGCAATGCCCTCGTGGGCAGCACGTGCCTGCTGAGCAGCAGTGCTGAGCCACCCTCCCTCTGTCCCTGCCCCTCCTCTCACCACTGCTCCTGGATTTTGTGAGTCACTGCCTCGGTTTGAGGCTCCTGACCATAAAGCTGGCCCTTTCCCCGTCAGCTGTCGGTTTTGGGCATGCCTGAGCTCACCCACACACAGACATCCAAGAGCTGCAGCCCTGCCCACGAGCGGGGGCAAAGGGTTTCAGCGCCAGCACAACCCCCTGCTCTGCCTGTCCTCCTCGCGAGGGTGTTTCTGCCTGGTGCTGACGTGCCGTCCCCTCACCCCCAGGAGGGAATACGACTTTGAAGATGACTGTGACAGCCTCACGTGGGAGGAGACGGAAGAGACGCTGCTGCTCTGGGAGGACTTCTCCGGATACGCCATTGCTGCTGCAGAGGTGCAGGGGGAGGTAACGGTGGTGCCAGCCTCCCTCTTGGGTTTCACCCTGGGCTCATGCATGTGCAGGGCATCAAGGCAGCAGCTGTGTTCTCCAAAGTTTCTGGCTTTGCTGGGCTTTTTTTCTGGGCTGATGTGTTTGCTGTCCAGTGTGGCATGTCTCAGGTCTCTCTGCCATGTGTTGACAGGACTGAGTCATGTCCTCTCTGTCACCCTGGCTATATCGCTCATGAATTTTCTTCTTTTGTCCACTGCTGCCAGTTCTCTCTCTGATCTCTGTCTCCTTCCCCTGGTTCATCACGCTGGACACTTGCCTGCCTCTAAACATGCTTTCTGCTCTCCCCAGCAACAAGATGACAGCCTGGAGAAGGTGATCAAGGACACAGAGTCGTTGTTCAAGAGCCGTGAGAAGGAGTACCAGGAAACCATCGACCAAATAGAGGTGTGAGGAGGAGGGAGTGACAGAAGGGTGGGAAATGGGGGGAGTGGGTTTCTCCCTGGAGGATCTGGCCCTGCCCCCTGCTCTGCAGCCCCCTGGGCTTATCTCTGCACCATCTCCCTTTGGCAGCTGGAACTGGCCACAGCCAAAAACGACATGAACCGGCACCTGCACGAATACATGGAGATGTGCAGCATGAAGCGAGGTCTGGACGTGCAGATGGAGACTTGCCGGCGGCTCATCACCCAGTCTGGGGACAGGTGAGCGGGAGGGCCGAGATACCCGTGGTAGCAGCCAGTAGCACCAGTCCTGTGTGGGGTGGGGAGAGGGCAGGTCCCGGGGCTGGGGCTGTTGGACTCCCAGTGAGCAGCCTCCATGCATGGTGCCGTGTCTGCCTGGGCTCCCCCTGACATCGCTGTACCCTTTATCCTCTGCAGAAAGTCTCCTGCCTTCACCCCGGCCTCCACCAGCGAGTCGGCGCCCAACGAGGAGAGCGAGGAGTCGGACCGGGATCCCCCCAGCGACGCTTCCATCAGATAATGAGGGGAGGCCCCGCTCCCCCCGCCCTCCGCTCCTGGCAGGGGGGTGTCTGAGCCGCGCCTGGGAGAGACTGTCAGGGACACGGAGCTGCTGGTAAACGCCTGTCACCCCGCCTCGGGGCAGATCCGCCTGCCGCCAGGTGTCTTGCGAATGGGAATAGCTAGGTAGGCCCTGTCTGGGCCGCTCGCCCTCCAGCCCTTTCTCTGTTCCTTCTCCCCGCTTCGGTTTACCTGCGGTTCGGGCAGGGTGGCCCCAAAACCTGCCACGGCGGCGCTCTCCAGGACCTGTCCCCCCCAGGCCCTCCAAACCCACCTCCTCCGGGCTCTGCCCCGGTGCATCTGGCCTGCCCCCTGCCCTCCTCGTGCCGCGCAGGAGCCGAACCCGAGCTGTGCCTCCCTGCAAACTGGACCCGACACTGGTGCCAACTGGACCGAGCCCTCGCTGCTCCCTGGGCACCGGGGTGAGCCTGGCACCCCGCTGGGCACCGCCGCTGTCCCCTCCCTGTGGGGCAGGGACGCCGAGTCCCGCTCACCGTGCACTTTGCTTTGCCACACGCGCGGCGGTGGCGCGTTTGTTACAGGGGCGAGGGGTCATTAAACGGGACAGTTGCCTTTTCTACAGCTTCTCCGGGCGTGGGCTCTCACTGGGCTGCAGCAGGCACAGGGCTGCGTTGCTCCAAGCGGGGCCTCCTCTGCCCGGCCCTGCTCCCCGGGATGCTCCCGTCCCTCGGGCAGGAAGGTGCTGGCGGTGAGATCCCTCTTTGGGCAGCTACAAGGCCCTCAAAGGGCCACCTATAACGCTGGTACTGCGTGGGCCAGGCTCCAGGCTTAAAATAAAACCAAACTGAGTTGTTTTATCTGCACTGATGCCGATGGCACCTTCCTCTGATGTGTCTGCACCCCTTCACCACAGGCCAGCATCCTCACTCCAGCTTTCTCCCAATTCCCGTTTAAAAAACAAACAAACAAAAAAACACTTAGACAAAGCTGACAGCAGGCTGAGGTTGGTTGCTGAGGGGAATGACTGAGCAATACTGAGGGACGGGAGAGGTTTGTGTTCCTGTGGAGGAAACAAAGCTGAACATGGCTTGTGCCTTGCAGACCGTCCTGCCTAAGAGCTGGCTCTCCTCTGATGCATCAGCTTTTTACCAAGGTGTCCCAGGGCATCTCCTTACCTGGCCTCAGTTCTGCATCCAACCGAGGGTGCCCCTGTCTCACCACCTCCTCTAGCCTTCTACCCCTGTGGACCTTGCGCTTCCTCCTGCAGTGACGGGATGTTTTTGGGTGGGAGAAGTACCCTGCTGAGAGGCAGTGTTTTGCAGGGTCGTCTGCAGATCAGCGGACCCGGGCTGCAGAGCAAAAGCAGGTGAAGCTCCAGAGAAAAACACCTCTTGCAAAAGGCCCCGAAGGGAAGATAAAGTAGATCACAGTAGAGTTTTTTTGGATCACCCGTAAGATTAGGTAAGGTAGATAAAATACGGGCTGGGGGAATGCAATAATTTACCTTCCCAGGTCTGGCTTGCGTAACTAACGCTGTCGTGCACATGAGCACCTGAGCATTTGCACGTCACGATGCAGAGGGTCGGCGTTTAAGCAGGGTGAGGTCCTCCCCGCGTGGCTGCAAGACGTGTTACAGCACGTGTTGGTGTTGCGGCGTACGTGAAGCTGTCTGGTTAGGTCTGGTTCCTGGGGGTGGGAGGGTGAGGCTGTGCCAGCTGCAAGGAAACCTCCAGGCCAGGGCACTGCTGCTGGGATGGGGACACTGCGGTTCGTTAGCTGATGGTCTGCTGCTGCTGCTGGGATCAGTGCCACACTCACCTCTCACCGAGAAGATGGGAAAATGTTTGCTGCATGCAGCAGTGTGCTTAATGCCAGCACAGGGGTGCTCCCCTCCTGCCCTTGCAATATGCAGTTGCACGGACAGGAGGTCTCGGGAGAGACTGGGCATTCACCCTCGTGGCCTTACCTCCACGCCACCTTCCCTGGTTCTTTCCATTTCTTTTCCTCTTGCCTTTTATCTTTTCTTCCTAAAAGAACTGAAAACAGACCAAATACTTTAATCCGTGGTTTTTCTTTTGAGTGATGATGCCTCACACACAGTAGCTCAAAGATCGCTTTCTGTCCTGCCCGAAGGCTCTTGTGGTTCATGCAAATCCCCTTTCCTATATATTTCCTTGCAGCATTTTCTGCTCTCTCTCTGATGTGGAGATCTCTATGACTAGCTGGCAAAGTCTGTCTCTCCCCGTGTGTAATCCATGGCATGCATATCTTGGCCTCTGATCTGTCTGTGCTGCTTAAGAAATCTACTACTCCAAAGAATGTATGCTGAGAGATTTCAAGCATGAAGAGTAGAAGGACCAACATCCCTGCCTCTAGAAATCATTGCCCAGATGAGCACCTGGTGCTGTCAGACACCCGTGCACCAGGACGCATGGGTATCCCAGTCCCACACTACTTGTCAGAATCTCATTTGCAGTGAAACTGAGATGTCTCCATCACGTTTCTGCAAGATGATGTCCTTTGGTGAACTGCATTGCTGGTCACAGGTTCTGATCCTCACCAGTGTGAAAGCTCATGAGATCTCGCTGGCAGGACATGCAACGCTGATCCTTTCCTTCTGTGACTTCTCAGCATGGGAAGCACAGCCCAAAGCTTCTGGTGGTGGTTGGACAATCTCCCCTGCATCTGCCTATCCTTCAGTAGTGACTCCACATCTTTGATGCTGGATACAAGGAGATGTGGATCTTCCATTTATATAATCCTACTCTAGGCTCCTCTCTGTTCCTCTTGGGGAGTATCTAGCATACTTTCTCTGGAACTGTGGTATCTAGGAACTGTTCAGTACTGTGTTGCTTCTTGATGTCCCAGCCTCACCCCTCTTCCAGGACACCTTGCTGCAGCACTGACAAGAAGCAGTATCAGAAGAAATTGTCTAGGGGAGACCCAGGTCTTAGCTGCTTAGTCTTTGTGGACACCTGTAGTCATCTCATAGGGAATAATCATGAGTCTCGTTTATCCGCAGACCACAACCCATTCAAAATCTTTGTTTGGCCTAAGCTTTCTCAAAATCTTGGTTGCAGGGGCAGCTTGTCACTGGATGGAGGGGGCCTTCTCCTATCCTGGACCCGGCAGATGAGTGGATGAAATGAATGTTGGAGGAGCAGGTCAGTCACACTCTCCAGCTGACCCTGCTCACCTGGGAACATGTTGCAGATGAGCCTTATCTACTCCCTCCTAGTACACCAGAGTGGACCTTGGCATGCAGAGGATGAAGTCCTATCTCAGCATCCACGTATTAATGTGAATGTTTATCGCCCAAGTACAGTCCAAGCACGGATGTGTCTTACTGAATGGGGTCCCATGGAAGGATGCATCTGGGCCAGTCCTGCCAGCATCCATCTCAGGACCCTTCAGATGTGACTGCTGTCTGGTCATCTACATGATCATCTGTCAAAGACCATGGTTTTATAATTGTGTCTCTGGATTGGTGTTGGAGCCCTCCCACTGAGTATTTAGGAAGGCTGGTTCAGCTTCCCCACACTGTGGAAGTCTGTGTTGGTGCAGAATCACTGTGGCAGCCTGGGAACGTGCTAGTGTTTGCTATGGCTTCTCCCTCTCCAACATTTGGACTGTTGGTGAGGACAGGTGCAAGTATTTAACAGCAGTGGGAGTGGCATGAAAATCATCTCTCGATGCAAGAGCTGGGACGTATCCACTTGGTCAGCATCCTGCCTCCATAAGGCACCAGGGGAGACTGCCAGCCTTTGAGCTGGAGGGAGGGACGCAGTTCTCTGCCTTGGCTGCTGTGCTCTGTGCTTGCTGTGCTGAGATCAGCCTCTTGGCGAGGCACTTCAACAAACAATGCCAGGCATTTTGCTGTAAGGCAGGACTAAGCCCATGTCTCCCTGCTGATTGCCTTTCTGATCCAGTGGCAGGCAGAGTGGCCTCTCCTTCCTCATCCCTCTTTCACTGTGAAAGGTGAATTTTCAGTACCAAAGACACCGGCTGCCAAAATAGGCCCACTGAGTTCCTTCATGAAGACTACCAGATTTCCCCACAGAGAGGTCAGGGAGCATCACCCTCCTTGCACCTCATCACTGGGGATGGGGGATGTTCTTCTAGGCTCTAGGAAGGGTTCAGTCACCCGACCACTACATAGCCCAGGTAATTTTTCCTTCTGTTAAGCAGGTCTGAGCCCTCTCCCTCCCTTTGCTCATTCCTGGGTCCCATCGATCTTAGATCATACCTCAGAACTGAAAAAGCCTCTTGTCTGTCTGTTCAGCTGTCCTGGTGGTGCTTTCCACCCAGCAACCTTCTGCTGGAGGCTCTGTCCCTGCCCCATGTGTCAGCTTTGTGTGAGATAGCTTTTCCCTGTTCTAGGATCCCTTTAATGGTCCTAAATGTGGTGCTGACAGCCTTCACTGGAGCAGCTTTTCATTCCCTGGTAACCTGTGTAGTGTTCTATTTATCTCGTTCTTGTGCTAAGCTAGGAGGGCAGGAGCAATCAAAGCTGCATAAAAACTTGCTCTCGCTTCTACATTCAAGCTAGGAGATTGGCTTTCCTGAGCCTCATACCTCTGCTGCAAAACTCTTTCTATGTTTAGGTGGCGGTGGTGATCTTCTAAGGAGAGATCTGCCTGCCAGCTCTGCAGAAGAGCTGAGAATAGATGGCAGGCCTTGTTTGAAGTCCTGCTGTGAGGCAGCCAAGGTGGAGCTAGGCCAGATGATAAACCCCCACCAGAGCCTTGGCTGTGTCAGCAGCTCTGTCGATTCCAGCTGCAGTCGAGTGATCCTAAGAGCATCCAAAAGGGTGGTGCAGACTCTTCCTGAGGCTTTCTACACGAAGAGCTCCACTTCTACATGAGGAGAGGTCAGAATTAACTCAGAACACAGTGGAGTGCTGTCTCCTTGGGGATTCATCTTATGATGCATGGGCAGGCTCATGAAATCATCTGACAAGCCCCTGCTGGTGGTGATTAATTCTGGGAACAATTGGTAAGGCAGCAAGGAGGACTGGATGGGCTACAGGCAGCTTAAGGGAAGTTCAGTCACCATTGAAAATCTTCCAAAGGAAGTATGAGACTGAGAACTGTTTTAGATGTGAATTTGTAGAATGATTGGATAAATTTTTGCTTGGGACGTGAGCAAGGAGAGGATGCAATAGGCCCCCTGACAGAAAGGGTAGATTTCATAGCTTGGGAAGCAGCTATGCTAGCTGGGAAGATACTAAAGTAATGCTATGAAAAAGGGGTTCAAGCAGCCGCTAAAAGATGTCACAATCAAGCTGAATCAATATTACAACACATGGGAAGAGGCAACAATTTAAGCTTCCGCAGAAGACAGTGCATCTGGGCAACATGCAAGAGGAAGTAAGAGTTCTCAGGACAGGAAGAAATATGATTAACTGACATTTTTTAAGTTCAACATCACATCACAGAACTCCCAGCTCACCAGTCTAACCCACTGGTGAAGGTGGAGTAGGGAAGGGCAATCATGAATTGCAGGTGCAAGCTGTGCTAAAAACCACATTCCCTCTAGAGCCAACAGTAAAAACACTATGATCTGACACACACGTTCATTAAGGCATTGGAAGGTCTTTTGTATAATCCTCAGTCACCAAACAAAACACAGTGATTTATTTCTTAAGTACCTCTCTGCTTCAAGTGAAAAGGAAAATTATGTTGTCATGGGAGACTTTGGATGGGAATACTAAAGAATATGCTATGCCACAGGGAGCTTCTCAGCAAGTTACAAATAATTGCATGCCCAAGTAAGGCAATGATTTTACATGCCCTTATGACAGATGAAGATTGAGTTAGAATTGGTGGTTGCCTAAAGACAAGGAATTGAGTGAGAAACAAATCAAGATATCACCCAGGACAAAAATATCACAACAGAGAACTGTGCGGTATTATATAGCCTTTTCTTACAGTGGAATTATTTAGGAGAAGTATCAGGAAACTGTGATTTAAGTGGAAGATCCTTGGGAAGATGAGAGGTGTTTTTTTTTTTCAGTTATCTGAAAATCTGTGATTTAGTATGCATGAGAAGATAGCTTTCAGTAAAACAATTCCATGACTAAGTGGCCATGTGATAGTAGTACTTGAAAATAATTAATAAAAGTAATAAAAAAAAAATACCTCAATTAATAAAAATAAAATAAACATTGTAACAACTGCAGTGACTGTGTGTGGAGGAAGACAAATACAGGGATGACAAAATAATTGAGATGTATAAAAAAAAGTTATATGAGTGGCTGATGACCTCAAGAATAAATACCTATAGGTGGATATCTAAGGATGCTAACACATTGTCCTAGTTATATTTAAAGGAAAATCAATCCTTGCAGTAATATAAGCCTTTTTCTTGGTGGGGATTTAAAAAAAAAAAAAAGTCCTAAATGAAGAAAAAAAAAAAAGGAAGTACTCATCAGATATGTCTGTTCTATATTTGTAAAGAGCAGAACGTGGTCATAGGGGAATGAAGCACTTTCCAAGCCAGTAGTAATTAAGGCGAATTCTTGACAGGATCTTCTCAGGATGAACACTTTCACTTTTCCAGGTACAGGTGACCTAGAGCGCTCTGATGGGGAGAAATGCATGGAGTGCTGTGGTGTGAACAAGCCACTACACAATGCCTGAGGCTGCTTGAGGGAGATGGAATGAGTGACCCTGGAAAAAAAAAAAGCATAGTGCTGTTGCAGCTGCTTTCCTGCAAACATCATTTTAGAAAGCACCCTAATCTCGTTGGTGATGAAAAAGTGCTGGCTGCTGAAATTCATGGTTTGTTGATGTCAATTCTTAAATGAAGTGGGGAAGACCCATTTAAAAATGACTGGGCAGATGGGTGAACAAATTACCTAAGTGGTGAGCCTGGCAGCCCACATATGGAAACCGATGAGAAACCAGTGGGGAAGGTAAAAATCAGGAAATGATGGAAGAAGTCTGCATGGACATGGAGGGAGAAGAAGTTGATAGACAAATCTGCTACCATTTTTGATATGTAGATATGATATCCCAAGAGTCTCAAAAGGGGTAAATGCCTCAAACAAAATGAGGCATTGAAATATAATTTCATAATTTAAGTTTTTAAATAGGGCTAAAAACAGGCTCTGTTACCATACATATATAGCCAACATGTAAGCTATGCATGAATCAATCTAAGAGCGAGGAATAATAGTGTTTGACCATACCTGGGACAACAGGAGCTCTGGAAAGACTGAGGAAGCAGCAGCCTGATGTGAGTTCTCAGCCAGCTGTCTTTAAACATCTTTTATTCCTGTTTGGCATTGGTGTGTTTTGTCCAGGTTACCATCTCATTTTGTAGTAGTTGGAGCAAAGAGGCCTAACTCTGATTCCAGGCTGGAGAAAAATGCTTTGAGAGTGAAAAGGTTAGTCTCTTTAGCTCCTCAAAAAAGGGTAAATGACAGTTTTTGCCCATGAGGATCTGATGAACTATATGGCTGTTTAATCAGGCTGAGAAAGGCATACAAGGACTATGAGGAGCTGGGGAGACTGGAGGCCATATGCATTCAGTGAAACGTCAGCGTGCCCTTAGGGTAACCAAAAAGCTGGAGATTACAAACTACCTTTAAAAGGTTTGGCCACTCTTATCCTTTCTAAATCCACTTGCTCTTCAACACGTGAGTTCCTCTTACTAGCAATCACATTGACAAATGCATCCAAGGGTGCAAACAGACCTCGGAGGCATAGTTTATTGCAATGAAAGCAACACGGAGCCTACCCCACTGCTTCACTGTCAACCAGGTGCTGACCATGCTGGGCTTCAGCTGAATTGTCTTATACAGAGGTAAAACTGATACTTCTCTCTACTTTCTGGACTCTTTGGTGAGCCTTTCTAAAAATCTGCCATCACGTCTGTAAATTTCTAATCCTTTGGTGTCAGGTCTGGTGTGCATAATGAATTGCAGCTTAGTTTGCTGTTGAGCTGTTTCATGCCCCAAACCATCTGAGATTTTCACTTGGTACTGACAGGTTGCTGATCCATATCATGGAGATATTATCAAGTCCTGACACTTCGGTTGGCAATGGTGTCTTTGTCTCACCTCTGCTGAGGGAAAAATCTGGGAATACCCCTACATGGCAACAACATCGCTTGTACTTTTCTACAGTGGCCTTCCCTAAATGTCCCATTCCATCTTATGGCTCTTTGGCAGCTTTCCTGTGTCTGAGATGCATTTGAAAAAGGTTTTAATACTACCTTTTTTATTTGTTACGTATTTTCTTTAAAACCTGCCCTTTTTAGGCTCTTTTAAATTTAATTTGCTATTATTTATGAGTTTTTCTTCTGTTTTCATTTGACTACTGCAACTGCTCTTTAAAGGCTGTCTCTTTGAATCTTATGCAGTAAAATATAACGCATTACTATTGTTTCTTCTAGGAGATGTACATTTAATTGAAAATAATTCCCTCGAGAAGATGCCACTGCTATAGTAAGATAATACATGGAGGTAAGTTAGCTGTGCCGTAGTAAGAAATTATATTCAGCTCACAAGAGTAAGCAACAAATTATTTGGTTTTGCAGTGTATATAAATAAGATTGCCAAAATGTAGGCAGCTTGTTTTTGGTGAAACGCCTGCTTTTTGTGAGTGACTGTGCACACAGCACTGTTTGTGTACCACGACTAAGCTGTGAACCTGTGCTTTGTGAATGGCATCTGTTACAAAGAAGAGTTTGGAACGCTGTCATTGAAGGTGTTTGTCTCGTACCAATGTCCAATACGTGCGTTGCCTCATAGTCTTTTCTATCCGAGACCTGTATCTTCCTTGCACAGATCTTTTTTATTGATTTGATCAGCCACTAGTTTACTTGAGAAGTGGACATAGTTTGAGTGGCCAAAGCTTTTTTTTCTTTTTTTATAATTTTTTTTTTAACTGTGCTTAATGCAGTTGCCATTTTGTTGTGCTATTTGCATAGCATGAATTAGTTTCCACAACTGCTCAAGATGCTTTTCACTACACAACATTTTGCTTAAGGCTGAATTTTCCTGCTGACATCTTCAGAAGGTGGTTTGAGGACTACTCCAGCCATTTCTTGGGGAGTGATGCGTGTGTGATAGTGTGTGCAAACGCCAGCAATGCATTAAATTATTTTAACATTTAAAATTGCCATAAAAGGGCATTTTCCTCTAACAGCACTGCTAATTACCATACCGCACCTTCATTTGAATTTCCTCTGTCTTAAAAAAAGACGAAAAAAAAAAATAATTTGCAGTTGACCACCCCTAGAAATGATTGGCTGCCGGAGATATCCCTTGGGTCGGCTGGCGTGCTTTGTGTCAGCACAACGCTGCAGAAGACTGAACCCGTCTCGCAGGTATCTCTCCCTCCCAGAAGTTCATAGACCAGCGTGGTTTCTGGCTAACCATAGCTGTTCTTGGAGCCGGTTTGTCCTGGCAGAGTGGCATGATTGCTTCTAGCTCCTTTGCTGAGCAAGAACCTCTTTATGGCAGTCCAAGAGCCTGACTCCCCTGAGCAATCGTTTCTATGAGTTTTCCTTCAAACGATTTTATGAGCAAACCTAGAGCTCCTCTGCATAGTCAGAAACTCTTTTGCAGCATAAGAGTCAGCTGCAACAGCAGAGCTTCCTTCTTTATCCCAGTGGCAATCTTTCAAATTGGCAATATACATATATGTATTTAATCCATTTTTTACAACGGTAAAAAACACAGTTTGCTGGACAGTGTGGCACCGGTGGTGGCTAGACACTGAGCTAGATTTTCCATCTGTCCGGAGGGGCCTTGCTGTGGTGCCATCTGCAGGCACGGTGTCCGGATGTAAAATGCAGATTTGGAGGAAGGAGCTAGGGAGCTTGTAGGATGATTCAGGAAACTGAGCCCTCCAGGCGGTCTAAGGGCTGCACGGCTTTATTTGTCAAGCTGTTTCTCACTATTTCCATACAAGAGCACCCGTGTTTTAAATTCTGTGGTTCCCAGCTTGCTCCCCCTAGCTGCCTGTATCATTCTTCAAGGAAGATTATAAATGGGTTGAAATAGCATTTTAATGAAAACAGAACAAAACTTTCTATCCGAAACGTACACAGCAATTGCTGTTCCTCAGAACAACAGGCACTCTTCCTCCACTCCCTACTCTACCCCACCTCCCAGGTGGTATTAATTTGCTCTCGCTCCCACAGTAATTTGATAGGACTCTTTCTTGATAAATAACGAGATCTCTGCTCTAGGTGAGTTTTTCAGGCAACCTTTCTCAAGACTTCTTAGATGAAAAACTACCTTACAACCAGGCTATTCAGTTCAAAAATACCTTAATATCTTTGTTTTACATGAAAAAAATAGGCAACTCCCCCTCAAGGTGTTTGCCTTCCAGCATTTCCATGTCATCAAAGGAGCCCGCTGGCACACACACAAGTATGCAGCAGTAGCACACAGGCCAGCCATTCAAAGCACCCAAGCACAGCAATTTCAGACAGGATGGGACCCACGCAGGGCATGCTTGGAAGCCTGACAGGGCCACGGGCTAACCCACTCCATGGCAGAAACCCTCCAACCCAGGAGAGCTGCCTCTGGTGAGCCCCAGCACAACCGAAAACCATCAGGCAGCTGAAATTTATCTCCAGAGCTACCTAAAGCTCCAGCAGGGCTGTTTACAGGGTAAGTCAGGTATTGCTGCTGTCCCAAAGCTAACAAGCTGCTCAGAGCCCCGGTTCGTACTGTAAGGTTGAATAACCTGCCTTTGGCCTATTTTCCCTAAGCAAAGCAGATTGGAGTCATTGCCCCCAGTCCAGTAAACATTTAGTTTTCACACAGCTATACCACTGGAGATGAGCAGCTCCAGGAAACTCTGTTCCAGTCCAAACCCCTTGCTCCAGGATCAGGCTCTAAAAGCAGCTGGGCTCCAGACAGCAGTTCCAACCCTGCCTCCCACACAGACAGCAACACGCACCCTCTGATACAGCTCACAGCCCCGGTAAATTTAATAGGAAAGGAGTGTCACAGCCTTGGTGGCAGTGCATTGCTTATCTACCCTACCAGTCACAGGTCAGGGAAGGCTCTGCTCCTGCTCTGTTTCCAGGAAGAGGTTCTGCAGCTCCTGGCAGAGGGCTGATACTTGCAGAGATTTAGTACTCGAGCTTGCCTGCAACTGCTGCTCCTGCAAGTCAGGGCCGTGCTTAATTCTAGCTACCTCCACAGGCCTCCCCCAGGGCAATTTGATTCACTTTAAGCTCTGTAAAAGTGAATGAAAAATCCTCTTTGTAACTTTGCTAGTGAAGAAGGGGGAAGAGAAACTGCTTTCTGTGCCATTTTGCCAAATCAAATGCAGCCAAGTCATTTCTCAGCACTCCATTCTGCATGCACCCATCAGACAAGCAAATCCAGAGAGCTGGAAGGGAGACGGAGAAGCAGAGCTGCTTTCCATTCTACCACAGCCTTGCCGTTCTTGCAGTCCCAGCCCTGCACCACACCTTATTTTGGCTCGGGGGCAGAAGTCCCACCCCTCCCCACAGGCATGGGTAGCTCATCAGCCCGCATACCGCAGCTCCCCAGGCAGGAGCTGTGCACTCGGGTGAAGCTGGGCGCTCACTGTTCCTTACAGATCACGTCTCCCAGGACTGCTCCGTGCCCATGTGTGACCAGAGCTGTCCAAACCACCAGCTGGCATTCCCCCCGCCTCTGCTGCCTGGATTCATGGCCTTGACACGCTGTCAGCTTAGGACTGGGCACGGAACACTATAGAGCACTTGTTAGAGCTGGCCCAGCAGTTGTGCTGGGCTGGCAGGCGCCTAACAGTTGCTGAATTCCTTCTGATTCCCCACTAAGACAGACAAGGCACTTCAGATGGTGAACGCTTTTATTGATGTAAGGTGGTACACAAACAGATCAGTTTCTATCAGCCTCTCCACCTCCCCCAGGTGGAGGAAGAAGTTGGAGGAGTGGGGGAGACAGAAGGGAACAGAACTGGCCTCTCACTGCAGGATGCAGAGCTGAGCGGTGGTGAAGGGCAGGGGCTCCAACAAAGGGTCCTGCTTCCCTAGGCAGCAGGGGGTCTGCATGCTTGGCTTACTCCTTGGATGCCATGTGGACCATCAAGTCCACCACACGGTTGCTGTATCCATACTCGTTGTCATACCTGCAGAGACAGAAATGCTGTCAGGACTGTTCCTGTATGTTAATGCTCCTCCACCCAGAGCACTTAACTGCCTCAGAAGACTCCCCATGCACTTCTTACGAGGTAGGCAACATCCCCCCCCCACCTTCCATTACAGGAAGAAGGCTGCAGCCATTTCAGGCATGAAACCATTTCACTCCAGAGACTTTTAAATGCTGGAGCCACCCTAACTCAGCAAACGCGTTATGTTTTGCCACGCATTGTCTGCTGGTGCTTATGAACAGCAGACAGGCAACAGAAGTGCCAAGCCCCTACCCCTCGGAGCCTTCCCACCACCCCAAGGCAGTACATACCAGGAAACTAGCTTGACGAAATGGTCGTTCAGTGCAATGCCAGCACCCGCATCAAAGGTGGAGGAATGGCTGTCACCGTTGAAGTCGCAGGAGACAACCTGAACAGAGAGAATATGGTCAAACACCATCACCTCACAATTAGCTAACAGCCTGAACCGGAATTCCAGCAAGGCTGGTATCATCAAAGCAATACAAGCACCTCCAGTCACAGGTGCTGAGAATAGAAGCCACTTACCTGGTCCTCTGTGTATGCCAGGATGCCCTTCAGGGGCCCATCAGCAGCAGCCTTCACTACCCTCTTAATGTCATCATACTTGGCCTAAGAAAAGGCAAAGTTAAGAAAGATTGTCAGATCCCAGCTCACACAAACATCAGCAGAGCAGGGAGGTAAAAGCACCGCAGCAGCCCAGACACTGGGAGCTGTACAGCAGTAGTCATGTATGTCAGGTGCTTTTTTCACCAAGATCAGTTTTTTTTCTAGGGATGAGATGGACGCACAAGGGGTAATTGCAGGTAAAAATAATTTTAGAGGACACTAGGAGTGAGCCTGCAGATTGTTACTCCTTGTCCACAACACTTACTGGTTTTTCCAGGCGGCAGGTCAGGTCCACGACAGAGACGTTGGGGGTTGGCACACGGAAAGCCATTCCGGTAAGCTTCCTGCAAGAGACATGAGTCAGCAGGGAACGGCACCCAGCATCCCTCTGCCAGCACGCCATCCTGCTAGGAACAGGTCAGAGCCAGCCAAGCACCTGGCTGCCACCTCCTCCTTACACCCAAGGAAGGCCAACACTCACCCGTTGAGCTCAGGGATGACTTTTCCCACAGCCTTAGCAGCCCCAGTAGAGGCTGGGATAATGTTCTGGGCAGCTCCTCTGCCATCCCTCCACAGCTTCCCAGAGGGGCCATCCACTGTCTTCTGTGTGGCTGTGATGGCATGGACAGTGGTCTGCGGGGGAGGAAGAGAGCACAACAGTGAGAACACTGCTGATGTTCCAAAAAAAGCATCTCAGGCACCTCCCCTCCATCCCAAGGGAGGGCGGATGCTTTTCTTCATACATGAGGAGCCTGGGGTAGGGCTCTCTCCTGATCAGCAAGCTCCAGACTTACCATAAGACCCTCCACAATGCCAAAGTTGTCATGGATGACCTTGGCCAAGGGCGCCAGGCAGTTGGTGGTGCAAGAGGCATTGCTGAGGAAGAAAGGCAAATATCAGCCAGAGGCAACATTATCTAGTGAGGTGAGGTGAGATCCCAAGCAGCTGGTCAA